AAAAGCAAACTTTATTTGGTTTTGAAACCAAGTTAATCATATTTGAAAATAACGCTTATTAGATGTTCGGGAGCACCAAAAAATGAAATAGGTAATGTGGGTGCGGCTAACAGGGCAGGGTGCGGCTTGTACACCCAAAAAAGATTAGCAATTTTTTGTACGAACTCGGTTCTTATCACGACCCCCCCCCCATTCACACCCCCGGTACGACCTCCCAGGTCAGGCGCGTCTGACCCCACACTCAACCCTGGTTGTGAACTTTCGCGATTATGTCAGCGCTCGTTGAGAGAATATTATCGGAATGAAAGCTGCTGGAAAGAGGAAGAAATTCCAAATAGAATACTTCTTAAAGCGTTTGTTTATTTACTGTAGCGGATTTATGGTTGGTCTAAAAAACGGAAAGAACTTTTGCGCAGGACTAATATTTTCAGCTGCTGATATCAAATTATGAAACGTACCCCTGACTGTAGCGTAAGCATTCTCATGACAAAACACCATCGTTTTCAGATGGCTGTCTATAAAGCGTCGCACGCTTCGTCGCTCTCTGAAAAAGTAATAAATCACATTTTTCCTTCCACTTCTCCTTTTCAATAAAACGAGCGGAGGACAAGATGGTTGTGAGACTTACCAATTGGATCAATTATTGTCATTTTTATTATCATTTTTATTCAGTGATTTCCAAATGCCTCTTGATAAAACGACGATTGTGGTACGGTATTGTTGCTGAAATAACCAATAAAGGGATGATCCCAAAGTAGAAATCAACAACATCAGGTACCTAGAAATTAAGTGGCTTCCCACTGACTATTTTTCATCAAAAATTATTTACTCACACCATAAGAAGATGTCTTCTCATAGAAAGTATTGATGACAACTACGCATTGTACAGTATGTTCTTGCACATTTCCCATGATTCGTACCTAAAAATGAAGACTACGGTTTATCTACAGTACACGGATTAGGTAACCTGCATCAAAATCACATAGGAAAACTCTTGGGAAGACACCGGATTGTTCCCAGGTGGTACCATTATAAAGATCAATCATTGGCACCAAATCCATACCATGCGTACTTCTCCGTTTCGAGAAATCTAGCATTACATAAGTAGTTGTGAAGTTAATTGGATACGTATAGATACAGTAATCCAGCTGTCCAGAGCAACAGTCAGGGCCCGGCTCGAGTCGGTTTCTGGGGTTTCCGA